GCCCTGGTTTAAGAACAAAATATCTCTTCATAGTAAATTGAGCACACCTCTCACTGTTGACATAAACTGTACAATATACTTACCCTAACAAACTGTAATTACTAACAGTTTTTGCCAATTTATATAAATTCTTGGCATAAATTTCTTCAATATTTGCTCTATAAGTAAGAAAGAGAAAAATAAAAATAAAATTTCGGAACTTGATTTGTGTAATTGAAAACAATTTCTGTAGAGCTGTAGGTAATTATTATTTACAAATAAATATATAGTCTATCACGAATGAAGAGAATAGTCTCATTAGGGAGGCCAAATTCACTAATGCGACCTTAGGAGAACCATGTTCAAGATTTCAATACACAGAAAGGTAAATATTAATCCAAGTAAACCATGTACTGTATGTGGTGTGTAACGTAAGTATGACACATCTTAACTACTAGGCATCCATAAATCAAAGAAAACTTAGTAAGAATTCCTTTGTGTTGAAGGTATTGGAGACATGAAGTTTAAATAAGGAATACTGTATTTACTATATATTTACAGTCTATTAGAACAAATACAGCATTTAAAATATAACTGCAATCAATGATCAGGGTGGTTCAAAGTAGCTATGGTTTAACAATTATAAATATCCAATGAAATAATGACCATATATGATGACTTGATATTTTGGTCATATATCTTGACAGACAACAAAATTATAGCACCAATTGCATGTTCCTATCTGCAACAGTACTTAAGATACTACAGTTATGCATAGTATTGAGGTAACATGACCATATATAGTCATCTGAAACTTCAGTCATATCACATTGATCTCAACCAAAAACTAATCAGGTTTGCGTATTATCCCAGAGCATCTATGATGTACCGTGTTTCATTAAAATCTCTTGAATGGCCCTTGAGAAACAAGTGAAAATGCTTAAAAATTTCTAAGTAATATGCAAATTAGGTCATTAATATGCATGGTTTCAAAAAACAATCAGGTCTGTGCATTATCCTAGAGCGTCTATGTGTCAAGATTCAATGAAATCCGTTGAATGATTCTTGAGAAAAAAATTTAAAAGGCTAAAATTTGGCTAATTATTGTGCAAATTAGGTAATTAATATGCACTAGACTTCAACCAAAAACTAATCAGGTCTGTGCAATATCCCAGGGCATCTATGCACCAAGTTTTATTGAAATCTGTTGAATAGTACATGAGAAAATACTTAACCTTTTCACCATCAGTTATCTCTTTTCATTGTAAATTCACAAAATAGTCTCGTATATAGTCTGCACTTTTCAAATTTTTTGAGTAAAAGCTTGTTTGTTGGCTCCAAAATTAGGGTTCATTTCCAGAAATGTTGAAGAATATAAGAAAAAAGTGCAGAAAAATTTGGGCGAGAAAATCTGGTGGTGAAAAAGTTGGCAAAGGAATATGCAAATTAGGTAATTAATATGCACATATTTCAACCCAAAACTAATCAGGTCTGCGCATTGTCCCTGAGCATCTATGTACCAGGTTTCATCAAAAATCAATGAGTGGTTCTTCAGATATCAGTGAAACAGTCATAGAACAGCTAAAAATTAGCTAATTATCATGCAAATTTGGTAAATAATATGCATGGTTTCAACCAAACTAAATTTGTTGACAATATAATATCTCCGCTCTTTATGAATGTGCAGAACTATGCAAATCACATTACTATGACAACACAGTGTACATCTAGTGATAATGAATATCTGACATTGACCCTGCTTGCTTATAGTACATGTATATTTATGATATACAACAATACATGTATATACACAGTGTACATTTACAAAACCATATTGACATTTTCAATCTGACTGTAGACTCCACGACAAACATAAATCTATGTATGTACTTTTAATACTCTATTTTCAGAGGGTAAACTGTTACTAGTAACCCAAATCAATCATACAGAGTGTTTACATTACATTCGGGAATTCGTGCAGGATCTACCGAGCATATGTACATGAACAACGCATTAACATTTTACTTTAATTTTTAATAAAATTAGGATTCATTTTAATAACAATATACATAACAGATATTCCAGAAAAATGAAATGCTGTCATCAAAGAAACCATTGTAAAAACAAGAGATACAGGATTGACCATTAAAAATGATGGGAGATGTTAAAATACTGTGGAATACTTTATTTTCGCTGGAATTAATTTTCGCTGAAAAGGCTTTTTGGGCGTTTTGTATGGAATTAATTTTCACTGATTTTTGATGAGTTTAATGTGAAATATAGGAAAACAAGTATATTCGCTGGATTTTATTTTCACGGAATCCTCCAATAAATTCCAAGGGAAAATAAAGTATTCTACAGTAATTATTATTTGCAAGCATTCATTATGTTTTGAGATATATTTTTGTTCAGGATGATGTTGCTGTTTGTTTGTTGTTTCTACCCCAGATTTACTAAAATTGCCAAATTGTTGTTAGTGAATTAAAAACTCCAGATAGTTCATTCTGTAAAATTCAGAGAAAGTCACAAAATACTGTAGCAGTGAAGATCTAACAACTTTAGCCTTTAAGACTGGAAGTCACAGCGACTTTCACCAGTGTCCTAGGGAGCTTTTCCCTTTTTGAGTTTTTCAGCTGACAACTTTAGCCTTTAAGACAGGAAGTTACAGTGACTTTAACCGGTGTCCTAGGGAGCTTTTCCCTTTTTGAGTTTTTCAGCTGACAAGTTTAGCCTTTAAGACAGAAAGTTACAGTGACTTTATCCGGTGTCCTAGGGAGCTTTTCCCTTTTTGAGTTTTTCAGCTGACAACTTTAGCCTTTAAGACAGGAAGTTACAGTGACTTTAACCGGTGTCCTAGGGAGCTTTTCCCCTTTTTGAGTTTTTCAGCTGACTGCACAGACATGCTGAAGTTGTAAATGACACACATGTCATGTTCACCTATAAATGGCCCTTTATTATTAAAAGACTTAAAAGTTACGTTGAATGGTTCTTTATATGGGAATAAAAAAAGTTGCAGCAAATGACCCTTCAAATAAAATACACAAAAAAGTTGCACAAATGGCTTTTATTAATGGGTAACGAAAGCAGAAACTAACGGTCCTTCATTAAAAATGAATGCCTTAAGAGGTGCACAATCCACTCATAATTGATGAGCAGTTTGTACAAATAAATCATTTCAAATTACTATTGATAAATTACTTCAATTAAATTAATGTCAAAGGTATTCCTGTTAATATCCAACTGATAAAAGTCTGTTCTCTGTCATTCCACTGTATCACATTATTCATTTTCTGATGTGATAGTGCACAAATTTTAACCCTAACCTTGTCAGCTTCATATACTTTTTAAATTACCTTGACCAAAACAGGGGTTAATCAATTCATCAACAGTGCTGTGCAGTTATGGTAACGCATTTGTTTAAAGTGCGCTCAGAATATTGCACAGTGGAGACAAGACATACATTGTAAGTACTAGTATCAAAGCTGGCTACTTGCTGGCTTTGCCTTTTCAGAGAAACTAATAATCTTCAAGTCAGTATCATTTTCATCAATAATTCCAACTTATTCTTATACCCCCCCCCCCACCCCCCGTATTATGAGACAGATTATTTTGAACAATATACATGTACAGTCTGATGTGTAGGTGTGAGTACGCCCTCGCTGGCCAATATCATCAGACCTCACTAACACCTGACAGAGTAGTATATGACCCGTGGGCAAGATCAATACGTCGAATTCGCAAAGTTCATGCTTTCTTGCAATAAATAAATAAGTTCAATAAATATTCAATTTTGGTGGTCATGGTAACACCGTCAATCAAAGCCGTGTTTGCATTGTCAGCAAAAATCGGACTGTTTTCAGCAAGATGATAAACATTGAGCGGAAATTTGCCAGCACCTTATAACACATTATGTCAACAAATAAATAAACACTGTAGTGAATGGTTACCGTACTCATTGATGGCTGTCACTATCTGACATCCCTGCAATTTCATTGGTACCGAAAAAAAATAGTCTGGTGTGTGTTGGGTTTGGAGCACCGCAGAGGGAGCAACTCACATGACCTCGTCAGGTTATATACATGTACATATGTGGCAGTTTTAAAAGCGAGTTAAGTCAACTTAAAGCAAGCTAAGTATTATGTTGCGCTTGGACAGTAATATATGTTTTTAATTTTTCACATTTTTAATATTGTGTTAAAAATGGCCTTGTGGAACCAAATGAGTAAATGCAGGGTAATATTTCAGGTCACATGATTTACACTTATAGTCTACGTGTTGTTTACATTCACATGGCCAGCAGTCTAGGTGTTGTTTACATACACATAGCCAGCAGTCTAGGTGCTGTTTACATGCACATAGCCAGCAGTCTAGGTGCTGTTTACATGCACATAGCCAGCAGTCTAGGTGTTGTTTACATGCACATAGCCAGCAGTCTAGGCGTTGTTTACATGCACTTAGCCAGCAGTCTAGGTGTTGTTTACATACACATAGCCAGCAGTCTAGGCGTTGTTTACATGTACTTAGCCAGCAGTCTAGGCGTTGTTTACATGTACTTAGCCAGCAGTCTAGGTGCTGTTTACATGTACTTAGCCAGCAGTCTAGGTGTTGTTTACATGTACTTAGCCAGCAGTCTAGGTGCTGTTTACATGTACTTAGCCAGCAGTCTAGGTGTTTTTTACATGTACTTAGCCAGCAGTCTAGGTGTTGTTTACATATACATGTACTTAGCCAGCAGTCTAGGTGCTGTTTACATGTACTTAGCCAACAGTCTAGGTGCTGTTTACATGTACTTAGCCAACAGTCTAGGTGTTGTTTACATACACATAGCCAGCAGTCTATGTGCTGTTTACACATACATGTACTTAGCCAGCAGTCTAGGTGTTGTTTACATGCACATAGCCAGCAGTCTAGGTGCTGTTTACATATACTTAGCCAACAGTCTAGGTGTTGTTTACATACACATAGCCAGCAGTCTAGGTGTTGTTTACATGTACTTAGCCAGCAGTCTAGGTGTTGTTTACATGCACATAGCCAGCAGTCTAGGTGTTGTTTACATGCACATGGCCAGCAGTCCAGGCGTTGTTTACATTCACATGGCCAGCAGTCTAGGTGTTGTTTACAATCACATGGCCAGCAGTCTAGGTATTGTTTATATGCACATAGCCAGCAGTCTAGGTGTTGTTTACATGCACATACACAACAGTCTAGGTATAGTTTAGCCAGGATACGCATATTTGACTAGCCGTGGATGTATAGAATAGCGCAATGAATGGGTGAGAAGTGTGTAATCCCAATAAACAGCAGTTGTGAGAAAAATACATATTGAATATGTTATTTTATTTTACCTTTCTCGTATGCAATCCATGAGTTCTTTGCTAGTAACTTGTCCATGTTTCATATTATGATATAAAACGTCAAATCCATTATTTTTGTCCCCCTGTAATATAAATAAAACGTACAATATTCAGTCACTCCCCAAAACTCATGTTTGACATTTGACCTCATCAAACATGTATACACTTTATTTAAAAAAAATATGCATGAACATTTGAGTATGAATAAACAATGTATATCACATGTTGACAAACAACAACATGCGTCGCAAGGAACATGGCAACCACAGCCACGTAAATAACACATTTTGTGATACCATATTTACTCTATTAGAAGTGCAAAAACCAAAAATTGCATTGATTGTATATTACAACATGTAGATATAATGATGAAACACGTCATTTAAATAAGCGCATATACTACCAATAGAGTGAATACTGTAATAGGTTTTTTCTTTGGAATGCTTTTGAACCAGGTGATAGTACAAACCACTTAAACTAGTTGCTTTTCCTTTATTTGTTTAATACTTTAATTATAAGTACACTATAGATAAGTAAAAGCAATTAAAAAAAAATTACCTGTACTTTAAATTTTAAAATTGATGCAATACTGATTTTTGGCACATTACAATGAATCCAACATATTTGGAACCATACCCAGTGTGTTTCGTAGGTATACGTCTAAATATGGTGGCTAATTTGCATAATAATTATAATATAATTTGCATACCTATTTTATCACAAAAGACACTATCAATTATCTATATTGTTACTTGAAAGTTCAAGGGGGATATATTTGTGGCCAGGCATGGTAAAACCATCATGCTCAAAAAGCTTGTCAGGACATCTTGGTGGGCTCATTTTTAACAAAATTCCCACTCAACACAAGCATCTATATTTTTACACATCACATGCAGTGGATCTAGTGGGTGAAGACTGCCTAGTGGCATTTTGAGTTTACGAGGACACCCACCCAAGATGACAACCATGACATACATACGTGTGGGAGTGTTCAGTACAAAAGACAGGATACTCGAGAATTTACAATCATAATAGAAGAGAATAACCGCTTTCTGTGATACTATGTGTTCATCCAATCATGTACAGCCAATTATGTTGCATGATGACAAGTTACAAATGTAGAACTGTGTACATGCAAGGAGATGTCCTTTACACACCAACCATCATTAAATTCAACCTTTTCACCACCAGTTCCCTCTTTTCATTACAAATACACAAAATAGTTATACATGTAGTTTATAGTTAGCGCATTTCTTCCAAAGATTGGGCCAAAAAATAGCAAAATTTTTGGGGGAATAATTGAAAAATTACTAAAATTTTGTCCTTTGTTCTACAATTAGCGTTTTTTAGCGTAAAAAAGTGCAGACAAATTTGGGCGAGAAACTTTGGTGGTGAAAATGTTATTATATTTCAGTCATGTATTCAACACAGTTGAATATATAATATTTATATCACGATCCAGCACAGAAAATAGGACTGACCGAGATATTTAGACTTTAATTAACAGACATGGTTGTGTTTAAAGAATAATGAATGACCAGACCATGTTAAATAAAGTACAGCATGCAAATGTTAGTGACTAATGAAGCATAAAAATAAACCAGAGACAAACATAACAATATGATGGTAGTTAGAATTCAACGAAGTGTGCGTGAAATAGCGATGTTTTCAAACTTTTTTGATCATTTTGATCATAGCAGAACAAAAATCCAGGGGACAAAAATACCAATTAGAGATCTATTACTAATGTAGCATACTGTGGAATACTTTATTTTCACTGGAATTAATTTTCGCTGAAAATGCTTTTTGGGCGTTTTGTATGGAATTTATTTTCACTGATTTTTGATGAGTTTAATTAATGTGAAATATAGGAAAAAAAGTATAATCGCTGGATTTTATTTTCACGGAATCATCCCTTCAGGGAAAAAAGCAAAATAAATTCCAAGCGAAAATAAAGTATTCTACAGTATTTTCGTTATTAGAAGAACAACTCCAATAAAAGCATATGTGAGATGAAAACCATTTGTGTTGATGGGATTACACCAAATTAACAAAGATCATATGAAGACCTTGAATTACACCCTTTATTGGTGAATTACTGGGAATTAAAGAACAGACTGAAACTCATCCCCATGTGGGGTGCAGGTATAAAGTAGAATGGCTCATTACACATGTTGTTGTGGCAGAAGTACTAATACACAGGAATAACCATACACCCACTGACAAATGTGTATATGGCAAATTTGTAACAAATAAATACTTTTTAACAAGACAATTTGCTCTTTTTGATCATATACAACTTGAGCTTTATCAGCGTAAATAATACAAATGTGTTACTGGTAGCATTATTGGTAAGCACAATATCAATGACATATAAACTGAGGCGTTTCAAAATTGGTGATATCTCAAACTCTCCAGAACATCAACCGAGGATTATAATAAAGAAACCAAACCTACAAACTGAGTTTTATCTTGCATCACAGTGACATGGAAATGAAGTCCAGAGTACTTCTATAAAATCAGAGGTCAAAGTTCACAGAGGCATTGAATGAAATAGCCATACCCCCCCAAAAAAAAAGATCTCAATTTTCGCAAAAATGCAAACAGTTGTCATTGATGTTGAAAAACATTCAAACACGATGAAAACTAACATATATAATAAATGAAATTTATTCCAGAAAACATTACCCTTAAAACTACCAGGATGTGTACTCTGTAAGAGTCATGCACACATGTCGCCTGGATGTCCTTGCAGAATACCTTCCAAAAAATCCTGAATGTATCCTATATTAATGTACCTTACTCTATAGATTACATCAGATTTGTACTTGAAATTGGGTGTCCTCTGTATTACAAAGTTCATATCATGTAAAATATATTGTAAACAATACTTATAATTGCCCCATCGCTAAAAGTCATTGCGACATCCAAGTCATAAAAAAACAAAAAAGAATATATAATTCAGTCATCTACTCATATATAATATGGTAATATGGAAACAATGTCAAATGCATGTGGTGCGATTATATTTCCTGTTGATTGCACCCACTCCCACTCATTGTACATCTGGTAAATTAATGTAAACTACCAGTAATACATGTACATGTATGTACCGATATATATATATATTTATTATAAGTCCTTGCCTTAAATTATTTTTCAAAAACATATTTTGGGTGGTTGGACAATTTTTTGTGTGCAAAATTGTTGATGACACAAAATGTGAATGCTGACTAAAAACACTAATTTTTTATATGAGAATTTGAATTGACACAAAATTTTCATGAAATAGTGATTTTGAAGTAAGCACATCAGTTAAAATGTTCTGAAAATATCTACTAATAATGCTATTACTGTATTTGCTCTATTATTATAAGCCTATTTTCAACAGAAGTGCACTGAAACCAAACTCTCCATTTATTGGAAATTGGCTCATTGAAGACGACTTGAAAAAAACAGTAGCATAAAGAGCACATACTACAAACTTTTTAAACAACCAGAAATAACGACATTGTGTTTATAAATTTTCTAGTATTTCCTCAAAGTTATGGGTGTCCTCCATCAAGTGTGAGCAATGTGACCTTTATTTATTTGTGTTTGCATGGAACATATCACGATTCCAAATTTGGACAAGTTAGTTTGGGTTACACGCTAAGTTCGCTTTACAATTGGTGGAGTTGTGTTTCGTTCATGGTTCAAATTGGTCGAAACTATCCCATAATATGCACTAAAATTTGGAATGGTGATATAGTCTAAGCAAACAAGTGTGGGCATAAATAAAAGTAAACGTCCCATTGCTCAAGTGTTTACAAAACCAGAATGACTACCCAAAATTACCATGGGTAATTTTACAGCCTTTTCCTGTTTTACTATTTGAACTAGCTTTGAATTATAGCTTGATAAAGTTTGCAACTTTGAGAATATTTTCACCCAAGACAACCGGAGATGAGTGGATAGCAAGCTGTTGATGCAGATTAATTTGAGCTTTTAAAACTCGTAGCTAGCAGGTTTCCAATAACTTAATTTTGAGCCTTGCTGAAATATGACGAATAGACATTTATGTAATTTACATAAGTGCATGTGTTACTAATAAAGCAAATACGGTACATAATTTGCAAATACACGGACAAGGCATGTAGTTTTTACAGCCATACACATGTACACTTTCCTTTTGTCTGTGTTTACATACGTGTATGAGTGATGGTATCTAGGGGTCAAATGTGTGTCCGGCTAAACAGGAAGTTGATGCTGGTCCATATGCTGGTTATATTACAGGCACCAAGGTTATAAAAGCACACAACTCATTCAAGAACAAGAACATAATGCATGAATTTAACGAATAATAAAATAGCGCGTGACCATTAACATGCTCAAATTGACACACCCTTTTCTTGGGGACATTTTCACAGACCATATTCACTATCCAGAAACACATATGCAAATTTTAAGATGCTATACATTTTTTTTAAAGTTATTTTTCTAATTAAACGTTTATAAATTGAAACTTTTACAGTAAATGAATAATAAGGCAATAAAGTGTGCATGTACATATCAGTGATATATTGAATGCAAATGATACATTTTTGTGTTGCTAGTCTAGTCAAGGGAAAAAGCTGTTTTCTTCGATTCATGACATCGCCAATGGTAATGTACATGATTATTTCAATGATTGGAAAGACCATGTCCAAAAAATAACTTCTTCAGCATTTTGTAAAATTTTCAAATGTTTTGGGTGGAATGATATTTTTGCTCAAATCAGTCATGGTGGCACTGTTGAAACAAATCTAAAACAAGGATGACAACAAAGAGCAAAATCAACAGTCAGGTAACCCTGCAGACAAATATTGATGTTGTATATGTACTACCGGTACCATATTTGTCTATATCCAAGCTTTCACATGTGTAGTAGCATTCTGGGTAACTTTAAGATCATTTTTGAATCACAGATCAATTTTCAAATGTTTCACCCCTGGTGCTACCATAATGTACATGTATCAGTTCCACATTAAATGCTAAATCATTTCGAGACTGGAAA